GAGGGGTGGGATCGGCATCGAGGTGAAAAGATGGGAAACGGAGATGGAACACTGGAGTGCGAGAAGCCGGGGATGTATGCCGCGCACAACTTTTAGGATTAATTCCCGGATAAAATGGCCGGCCGCACGCCATCCTTATGGCCGGCGGACAGACCCGACCGGAGAGGAAATAGCCGTCAGTTAACGTTTGTCAGGCTAATTAATTAGCAGCTGGCTGAACTTTCTCTCGTCTCCCCTGTCTTTCTCGCTTTCTTCTCTCTCGATACCGGGATACGTCAAAATTAATCCTTCCTTCTTAAGAAAGCGCGGCGATCTCGAACATCATCCGTCGTGAAGGGTCATCAGGACATGAATTTTGCCGAGCCACTTTATTTATGCCTCTAGAGACTAAAACGAAACTTAATTTCATGTTAGAGCGATTTAACGGTGAAATGGATCCGTTAGCATTTGCTGCAAATTATTCATATCGCAAGTAAGCGCAAAATTAAAAATCAGGTAGCTATGCTTTAATTACCTTTAATTTTTTACGAGGCAACATTTGCCGCATCTCGATCTCGTTCAGATTATTCTTGACATTTCCAGTCGCTCTCGTCCATTTTAATTAGACTATTTTTATCCCGCTTAATTCACGTTCAGTTCTTTCGTAAAACATTTACGTTTGCAGTTAGAAACACTTATACATCATCAACATTGCAGAGCAGGGCCGGAAGCCGCTTCGGATCTGAGCGGAAACTCGACTAAACCGCGAATACACGATGCAAACTTCAATAAAATTCCTCATAAAATTATTAGCGAGTACGGTCGGCAGTAATAATATCCGCTGTGCTTGCGACGAAGTTTCGATCTGCTTTACATCGCAGTTAAACGAACGCACGCATGATGCGTCGAGGTGTAACTGAATTACGCGCTAAAAACTGGCGCTCGAACGCAGCCGTCAAAAACGGAAGCGTTTGTTACGAGTGATGGTTGGTGTGAAGAAATAAGGGCGCGATGAGCCGAGGTTTAGCATGCTCGTAAATTCCGCGTAAGATCTAACGCGCGCAGCGAAGGAAACACTGGCCATTTAACTATTCATTTAGCCTTGGTATACTATCTGCGAGAAACGATTCAGTATAACTTTTTACATAAAGAAAGAATTTCACACGTTGCTGCTAACTTTTTCTACTTTTTGGAAAATTTAAAATATACCTGCGAGTTATGAAGCATTTTTATATGTGCGATGTATTTCTTTTTCCACGATCTCTTCTTTCTTTTTCTTGATACATCTTGAGACGTGATTACGAAGTTAAAAGAAAAGACATTATCGCAAGAGCTCATGTCTTTTTCATAACAAGTATTTAAGGACTATAAAAAGACACCTGGATTTTTAATTTTTTAATCCGCTTGAGAACATGTAGTTTAACATCGCTGCAAAAACGAAAGCTCTTACGTTTAAAAGCGTCTCTTGAAATAGAATTTTACTCCTTCACCGTGCACTCGGGTTATTTCTTCCGAATTGTTGTGATCATCGTTTGCTGCTGAAGAACTATATATTCTGTAGCTTGGTTTTACTTCTCGCTTTTATGTCCTTTTTCAATGCATCGTATTTTTGAGGTCAAGACATTGCGGTTAAACGTTGCATCTTCTGAGCATAGCATATCCACGATTACATTTCTTCCGTGAAGATGACATTACGGTAGTTACATGTTCTTGATTGTGTGTCAGTCTTTTCGCTTGTTTATCGGTTATTCCAAAATGTCACAAGATCGTAATATGTGAAAACACAACTAAATAACGAAAACTTACTCGATATAAGATCTCTTGGTTTGATATTTTGGTGTGAATTTTATATACATATTCTAATTTTGCAAACTGCGCGACGACATATTTTCAGTCTTGAAACGCAATCATAAACAAAACTGGAGTAGTATATCACAAATTAAATTGCCAACCAGTTTAATAATTATATATTGATATTAATAAGCACCTTAAAAACAGCAAATAGTTTGTTGTGAAAAATATTACTTCAGGGATTCAAAGCCGGATTTTCCGAAATCACAATAAGTATTATGTAAGGACAATTGCTTAAAGCAAGTGAAATAACTAAAGTGTCATAAAAACATAACTAAGTAGCCGGTATGAGCTACAATGTTTGAATATTTCGGTGTGAATTTTATATACCATATACGTGTCCAATTCAGCAATTCCAAATTGCTTCGGTCGATCGTCTCCGTTTAATACACCGGGAATAGTCACCTGGAATATTTTTGCATCCCCTAGCGGCCTAAAATTGTGAATTGTCGTAAAATATTGTTTTGCATGGATATTGTTTGACATATTTTTCTTTTTTAATAACTCTTCTTTATGAATCTTTAAATGTGCAATTTGAAAATTTGCGATAAACAAGCGTTACATTAATAAAATCATCCTTATTTTTTGTTTAATATTGTTATAATATATAAATTATTTAACGCGCTTATTTCGTTTAATATTTGTTTGGTTTCTATTTACTTTTTTCAGAAAATCATGACTAAATTAATATCCATAATATTCTCAAACGCTAATAAATCGGAAAATAATCAATAATATTTAATACGTTGATAATAACAGTAATTTTAATTGATCATTTGTTTGAATAGTACCAATAGTACCATATTTACTAAATATGAAAATATATTTAGTATAGGAAAATTAATTTTATTTAACTGTTTATTTTTTAAAATAAATATTTATTACTGTGTTTAATTGGTACTATTCAAATAAATTATTATTATTATATTTTTTCTCATTGTTCTCACTCCCAGGTAAAAGATATCGTGGAAATTGCTACGCGAAGCTGTGTGTTCTTTATTCCAAATTTATCCGAAATGGCTTCCCATATATAGAAGACAGTAACATGAATTATAAATAATAATCAGTTCCCCTTTATATCCTGTTCTTCTTTTATTTATTTGTTAAAGCCGTTCTTGTATCTACCTATAAAAAGTCTATGAGGTTATATTAAGCTCGTATCAGATCAGAAATTAAGGTTGTGATCTGATTAGAATTTAGCTAACCAGAAGAAAGGAAATTGATATCAATTTAATTAATTTTGCTTTGATTGATGAAATTCCAATCCGATCTCAGTTGAAATCTGATATGAATACTTTACATAAAGTATAGCTTAAAATTAATTTTCACTTAAACGCGTATTTATAGGGAAATCTTTGTGTCTATCTAATAATCAGCTCGTTATTTACATCTAAAAATTTAGGTATCCAGCGACTCTGTGCGAACTAGGAAACGAGATCATTTCGCGTCGTCGCCGTGGAAATTTCGTTAGGATACGCTGGAGAGAAGTTATTTTTACGAAGTCAGATTTAGGAGCCTCGCTCGGGCGGGTGCCGCGCTTTAATCTACATCGAAATTCTAATGTGGCGCGTTTCTTTAGCATTTTATGCTAATGCTTGCCGCGTCGTACCCCCTTAAAGTTCACTTTGACAGCTTTCCCGGCAGCGGCAGCTGATGAAAACGACGACGGTTCGCGAGACGCATTTATTTTTTTTACCTGCGAAAGATGGAAAGAATGACCTACGCCAAATTTCTAGCACGGTCTTAAATTAATTGAAAGACTTATCTTTTTAGAAAATTGTATAGGTATATTTTAAATCTAAAAAATATTTTTCAGATATTTTGATAAATAAATTTTTTGCAGCGAAAAAATATTACCTTAAATCTTCTCAAAGTGAAGATATGTATTTTTACATTCTATGTAAATGTTTCACATTCAATTATTTATCTAGTCAGAATGTAGAACGCATTAAATAATTATCTGGCAATTATTATTCTATAAATTGATAAAACAAAATCTTGTAAATTGTTGTAGAATTTGCAGAACGTTGCCATAATTTCTTTTCCAATCCACTTCTCTTTCGATCTAATATTAGGGTCGAATTTACCGGGTGTTTCATTCAGCGAGGCTCAGAAAGACACGGTTCCTTTTAATAACCCAGCAGCGCCATCGTCCATTATACGGCTCTCTCACTTACAAAGTATAATATCTCCTCGTTTTTACACTTAGTATGCGTCCAATTTTAATACTCTTGCATCTATTTTCGTTTGCTCTCTCGCATTTCTCTCCGTTTTTCTTCTGACGCTCGCTCTTTCTGCTTCTCGCTTCAAAGAAATCATTTTCTATTCCGCTTCATCACGCTCAACAGACACGCCGAGAGAGAATTTCCGTGATCTGTATATCGTGCGAGGAAGGAGGATCATGCATCGCATCGGAGTCAGTAAGGTCATTCATGATGTATTCTTTAAACCAGGAAATTTCCAATTATTTCACTTCCCCGACACAATAGCTTTTTTTAATAATTAATACAAATTATATATAAAAGAATCTTCATTTGTGTTACAATTTGAAGATAAAGTCAAAGGTTTTTGTTATTTCCAGGAAACTTTTTTATTCCTCTGCAATGAAAGCGTTCCAATTTCAGACACTGCAAATAATTTCTCACATACAAAAGTAAAAAAAGCTTTGATATTTATTTCATTAACAATTTAATATACGCTTTAAATTTCGTTGGATATTAATAATCGTGATACGTATATTGCATAACGGAAACAGAGCATTTTTATATCGATGCTTTTAAAGACCTTGAGCTGTGTTGGATTTTAAAATAGCTATATCGATTATTATTCCTATTATATTATTATCCAATATCTAATTAAAGGCTTATTGTACATAGACTTCTATTATTGTAATATATTAATGTTGTTATTATTATTATTATTATATTGTGCCAACAATAAAACAATTAATGTAAATAAGCCTTCAATTATTCGCCTCTATACGAAGTCCTAAAAATACAAAAAGACCAAATTCGATGAAAATCACTTCGTCTGTAAAGTGAAATTTGTATCATTCGGAACTTTGGCAATTTGTATCTTCAGTACTTTGGGCGACGCGTAAACGTCGATCGCAATTAGTTTGTTCCTTCGAAGCTTGCTTAATTCGTCTCCACTTTTCTTCTCTGTTACAGAATTCGAACAACCAGGTCGCCATCGCTGGACAAAATCAGGTGTCCGGGCCTGGCGAGACTCAGGGGGGACCCAACACCGTACTTCGAGTCATCGTGGAGCACCTGCTCTATCCGATCACTCTCGACATACTCTATCAGGTGAGTGAGCAATGGTGCCACCCGGTACGTGACGGCCGGCTCATTTATTATTTCTTCGTTTTATATTGAAAGCGGTCGCAGTCGGTACGCTGAATGCAGTATCGCGTGTAATGCGACGATGAATTATATACATATTCAAGTACACATGCGTATGTATGTTGGAAGGGATGGAAATTTTTCACGAGTTTCTACGTGACTGCGGCGTGTTGTAGAAATTTTTTTTTGAGAATTTTTTTATCGGTTCAGATTCGAGAGAGGGAGAAAGAGAGAGAACTCATAGACTGTCGCAAAATTATGAAAACAAAAGAAAAATATAACTTCGCATGCAAACTGTGTGTTCGCGTGTTGCCAATGAAGGGAAAGTGTCCCTAATTGGAGGACACTGGGAAACGAAAGGGCTAACGTAATTTAACTTCGACGGAGGCCGTCGCCGAAAAACATCGCGCGCGCACCGAGAGTTGAATTAGTCGAATTTCACAGACAATCCCGCGGTCGTTAACTCGCTCACGGATATTTGATCAACGTTTACAAGTCGGGCGTGAATTCCGCTTGATTAATCCGCGCGGCGCGCGGAGTTTTGCGGCCGCGGCGAAGTTACATCGCGCTTTACATATTGAGTGCCTCGTTGCGAGCGGTACTCCGGCGACTGTTTGCAGTTTTAAAATTGAATATACGCCGGTAGCTTCGTCGAGATAACTGAATTCTAAATAATTGATTGTTAAAATTATAGAATAATCTCCTTGCCGCGACCACTAGAATTGTCGGGGTTTTGCCTGGCGCATAGCAATACACTTTGCGCGATATTCGTAAGACGCTAATTGCACCTGTCGCGGAATCGACACTTTGCTTTGTTATCGCGCGCCAAATACACTTGGAAGATAGGGAATTAAATTGAAGCGGTTCTAAACATCGCACCGCGATAACAAGGTTTACGTATGCAGATTCATGTAAATACGTGCTGTATAAAAGTAAATTTATCACGAAGAAGTGAGAGATAATCAAATAAAAGAATTTTATGGAATAATAAAATTGATAGACTTATATTTTTATAGAACTTCTTCACTCATTTTCGACAAATGCGCGCATTTATAGCACATAATTTATACATATATCAAGAATATAAGAAATAAATAAAAGAATTTTATAGTAGTATAACCAAATTGATAGTCTTACGTTTTTGTAGAGCTTTAGATCTGTATTCACTTTACTTGTATTAATAAATGCGTGCATTTATATATAGCATATAGTTTATATTACACATATATTCATAGAACCTAAGAAATAAATAAAAGAGTTTTATAGAATAATCAAATTCATCGTTTTATATTTTTGTAAAGCTGTAGGTCCATATTCACATTTCTTTTATCGATAAATGCACGCATTTATATTTTATGAAGGTGAGATGTGAATACAAATCCAAAGTTCTATCAGTTTGATTATTATATAAAATTCTATTATTGGATTATCTTTCCCATTCTTTCTTCGTGATAAATTTACTTTTACAACATATAACAGAAGACTACGACTTCGGAAAGTAATGCTTCGTAATCTTAAGCCGAAAAGGAGATCGAGAAATCATTTAATTGTAACGTATGACCTTTTTTATTATTTCCACGTGTAATTTCCTCGTTCATGAAAATAAAACACCTCGTAATCTTGCGAGGAGCGCGCTAATGCACGAGACGGCGCACTATTTTCTTCTTGGTAGGAAAACAAAGGAGCACATTCTTGCTGGTCATCATTAAGAGCGGGCGAGCCTTATCCCTGAGGATACTGGATAACAGGATAACTGAAGTGCTTACGGTTCGGGTTGAGTGGCCCATGCATTTTTAAGCGTGCTCAATAGCGCAGCGAATAATATTCTCGATGATGATGGTGTACATACACGAAAGTCAGTCTTTCTTTCGCAAGTTTGTGAAAACAGGATGTTTACGCTTGCCACGCCATCCTTAACCGGCGATATTATTTTTATATCGATAAAACGAGCAGCAAACAAATTCGAGCATCAAACACATTCTTTGCTAATAAATTTTTATTTGCGTTCGTGACAAATTTTTATTGTCTCACTGAATGAGTGCAACGATAATTGAAATTGCCGGGAAATATGAACAGTCATGTTGAAAAACAGACGGCAATACAATTTGTCTCATATTCCAAAAATTGTTGAAAAATATATTTCACAAATTAAAATGATTACTGAAAAACGTTTGCAGGATTCATATTATGTCGATCGCGGCATAGAAGATTTTTGCGTTTCTCCTGAATTCCCCTTTGAGAAATCGCGAATGCGAAATGGCGTGTAAAGAAACTATCTTTAACGCTATCGATTTATCCAGAGCGTCTGGAATATAGGGTGGCGTTTCCTTTTTTCTCGCATGGAATCAGGTCGTTGCGAAACGGAGAGTGGCGCTGGAGCCGCACTAAGCCGATAATGGACCGGGCAGAAAACATTCCCGGATTACCAATCGACGATTGGCCGGCTACATGTTCAGCCGTGTGTAAGTAGGCTTATACCGACGGTTTTGGCAGAAGCGGAACTGGATTTGTGTCTGGCTGTTCGCGACTTGTAATCAGCTCGAGAGATTAACCCGCGTCAAAGCCAGCCACCTGGAGCTTACTTATTGCTCAGACGAATCCTTCGATCTGTTAGGGTATCGTATGATTTGTGTTATATGTATATAAGAAGAAAATGCTTGTTATACGGACTGACACTTATCTCAAGAAATCCGGATGAACCGTAAAATCACTAATTCGACTTGATGAAAATACGAGCCAGAGAAATAAACATTTAACTCTGCACTCGAGTTTCACTGTATGATTAATGCCCGTTTCTACCAACGTAAATTAACTTTAATTTAAGTTCGACTTACTCTTCACCTTTTTCTAATTCTTGAAAAAGATGAAGAGTTACTTTAATCAAGATTAAAATTAAACTACATTGGTAGAAATGGGATTAGTGGGAAGCGAATTACATATCAAAGTCCATTTATGTAAGTTGTCTTAAACCTTGAATTTTTAATTATTTAATTTTACGCTGTACTTTGAAATTTTAACGACGCGAATGAGTTTATTGGATTCTGTACGTTCTGTGCGCTGCGCGCGCTTTGCCGAAGTCCGATCAAAGCTTGACTTGTTCTACTGGATATAATCCGACGATGCTTTAGAGGAAAGCGTTTGTTTTATTTTTTCAAAGCGGATTAGGCATTGCTTCGAAATTCTTATTTGCCTCTATACTCATATATTTTCATATTTATTATTATATATATTATTTTATGTTTTTTACAATGTTGAAATATAATACGATAATAAATTGGAGATTATGATATAAATTATGTACAGATACTTTCGAGAATGTATTTGCATCTAAATAAGTAAAAAGTCACACATATTGCGATGTACATTTTACTGTTAATTTTATTATCCGCTTCTTTTTAAGACAAAGAGAGCTTCATGAAATTTCCATGTGTCTCCCTGGATTTCTCCTAACTTTGCTGAAACAATCGCAAATGCGGTTTCCCCAGTTCTTGTGTTCAGGACTTCGATTGTTTCTTCCGGCCGAATTGAATTTTAACTTCGTTCTTTATTTGTTCCCGGTTTGTTGCTCGGTCGCCGCGACCTCCTCGCGCGATTAACCGACCGCCTCCGGCGAAGCCAATTTACGTGGCGGCGGTGGTGTTTCTTCCACCCCCTCTCGCGTCTCTCCGTCTTAGAAATCCTCCTCCGATATTTAACTTTACGATCTCTCGAGCCGAGGCGGTTAAATGCCGCGAAAAGTCTGCCCTCGCGGAGCGGAAACTTCTCGCGCAACCCCGCGGGAAAGAGAAGAAAGGTTGCGTCCTGGGAGAGTTGTGAGAAAGGGGTGCAGGTGTTTAGGCGCGTATTCTCGGTGCAGAATACAGCGCGGCGCTCTAAAAACTTTGTAATCCAGCCGATACCATTAGTCGGCGTTCTTGCGAAAATTCTTAATGACCCATGAGCAAGAATGTGTCGCCCAGAAAAAAAGGATTGAACTTATGGAGTTTTCTTTGTAGAGTTTTTCCTCATTATTAGGGATCTCGAGTTAACATACAATAATTTTAATGAATTGCAATATAAGCTCTAGAGGTGGGCAGTTTAATTAACAGCGTAATTATTTTGCGGCTTTTTGTATTTAGTATTAGGATTAATATTTTATATATTAATATTATTCGACAAATAATATATCGACAACAATAATCGAACTGTACAATGAAAGTGCATGTTTTCTCTGGCATCAGATTAACCTATTTATGAAATCTATTTTGTTATTAATTTCACGTTTCGTTCTATAAAAAAAAAGTTAGAATGCGTGATAGGTGGTTCTAAGAATTCTTTTCTAAATCCGATTACGAGACCAACGGATGGAAAAACTCTATCATCGTGAAACGATGGCGACTCGAACGAACCGTTCCTTTGCCGTAATTTCTGCTCTGCGTCTTTTCTTCGCGATGCGTTAGAAGAATGCATCGCATTTTTTCTCCAGCTATCACTCCGCGCTGATCTCGAGAGCGCGTCGAAACTTGAATGTAAAACCGGTCGTAACGTTTGCAGATACGCGCGGAACGTAAAGAGACGGCGGGCTTTTAACATTTACGTCCCGGTTAAATGGTCTGGAAACTCCGTCGAGGTACACGGTATAAACTGCCATTGCTAGGGCCCAACGTCTGCCACCTGGGGACGCTCTAAATCTCATCTTGTTAAGGCCCGCGCCAGTCTGAAATAGCGACCGCAGCATCATCGGCGACGAATGAAGGGTGATTTCGCAAAATGCGGCAGATTTAATTATCCTTCTTTCGTTTCTTTTTTCTTTTAAAACCGCCGATCAAACCAGTCTTCTTAATAAAAAGTTACTTTAAAAATTATAGCTGGTGAAATTACTCTAGATAAAGTTATACTCCGAAATTACATATTATAGAGAGGTTTTGGAAATTTTTTATTTTATTTTTTCATTAGTTTTTTTTTTGTCAAAGTTATAATTGATA